ACATGGAATTGCAAGGGACTCAGAATAGCCAAAACAGTCTTCAAAAAAAGAATAAAGTAGGAGTCACATTTCCTGATTTCAAAACTTACCAAAAGGAATCGTAATCAAGACTCTATGGTACTGGCATAAGGACACACATAAAGATCCATGAAATAGAATTTAGGGTTCAGAAATCATACAATATGCCTGTGGTCAACTGATATTTGACAAGGGTGACAAGACTATCCAATGAGGAAAGAACAGCCTTTTCAAGAAATGGTACTGGAACAACCGGATAGTCACATGCAGAAGAATGACATTGGACCTCTATTTTACACCATATTTTAAAAAAGTAATTCATAATTAATCAGCAACCTAAGTTGAAGAGCTATAACTATAAAACTCTTAGAAGAAATCATAGGATAAATCTTCATGACCTTAAATTTGGCAATGAATTCCTAGATGTGGCATGAAAAGCAGGAACAACCAAACGAAAAAAATGTATATATAAATTAGTCTTCCTCGAATTTTAAAACTTTTGTTTGGAGGACATTATCAAGAATGTAGTATGAAAAAAAAAAAAGAAAGAAAAGAATGTAATAAGACCGAGAGAATGGAAGAAAATATTTGCAATCATATTTTTAAGAAGGATCTAGGATCCAGAATATGTAAAGAACACTTACAACTCAATAAAAAAAGACAGCAACCTAATTTGCAATTGGGCAAATAACTTAAATAGATATTTCTTCAAAGAGGACAGACGAATGGCCAACAAGCACTTGAGAAGATGCTCAACATCACTGGACAGAGGGAAATATAAAACAAAACCTCAGTGAGTTAGCATTTCACGCTCATGAGGGTGGCCACAGTGAAAAATAAAGTAACAAGTGTTGGTAAAGATGTGGAGAAACCAGAGCCCTCATGCACTGCTGGTGGAGGTGTGAAGGGCCAGCCATGTGTAAAACTAGTTGCTTAAAAAGGTGAACTTGGAATTACTGTTGGAGTGAGCAGGACTGAAGCCATGATGGGACCTAAAACCACCTGGGCTGCAGGAAACTTTTTTTAAAAACAGTCTTTAGGGTTGTGGCTCACTTGGGAGAGTGTGGTGCTGATAACACCAAGACCACGTGTTCAGATCCCTATATAGGGATGGCCGGCCCGTGGCTCACTTGGGAGAGTGTGGTGTTGACAACACCAAGTCAAGGGTTAAGATCCCCTTACTGGTCATCTTTTACTTTTTTTTTTAAATGTCTTTCTTGGCATGCATTTCTCTGAGTTCCCTCTTTTCCTACAATTATTTGATATTTTGAACCTTGGTTATGGCCCAGATAACATTATTTACATAAACGTAAAGTTGTTCTCCAGTCAGCCTGGATCTGCAGATTTGCCATGACAAGCACTATCCAGAGTGTAAGAAACCAGGAAGATGTCAATAAGGGTATGTTGATTCCACCCTGAAGCAAATCAAAATTCTACAGTGACCCTAAGATAACCTCAAGGACAAGAACAGAAACCAGATGGAGCCTTGGCGAGACCTTGCACCTGGCCCCTTGCACGTCCCCCTCCCTCCTGCTTTTCATATCCCATGTTGTGTTTCCTCTTTAAAACCCCCTCAGTAAATCTGAGTCTTTGAGATGGTTTTAGTCTGGTCATCTCCTTAACGTTTACCTGGGAGGAGGCCTAGTTTGATGTGTCCTGAGGCCTGAACAAAGTTGCCTTCCTATTTCACCAACAATGTGACTTTTTTTTTTTTCCTTTTTGTCTTTTTTACTGACCGGCAACGGGATCGCAACCCTCGGTGTTGCGCCCGCACCACGCTCAGCCAGTGAACGGGAACCGGTCTCCACATGGGATCCGAACCCTCGGCGGGAGCGCTGCCACGCTCCCAAGCACGACGTGCGCCACCAGGCTGGCCCACCAACAATGTGACTTTTGGATCATTTGTTTCTGTTTTGGTGGCTGCAGCTCCACTGGAGAAAATCTTTGAAAAGCATATATCTGATAAAGGATTTGTATCCAAAGTACATTAAATATTCTCAAACTTAACAATAATAAAATAAACAACATAAATTAAAAGTGAGCAAAAGACTTGCATAGACATTTCACCAGGGAAGACCTATAAATGGCAAATAAGCACTTGAGAAGACGGTCAACATCACGAGTCACTGGGGAAGTGCAAAATAAAGCCACCAGGAGAGACCACCACACACTCATGAGAGTGACTAAATCAAAAGGTGATCCGCACCAAGTGTGCTGGGAGTGCTGAGAAGCTGCCACGCTGCTGCGGGAGGCAGCAGGGCATGGCCACGTGGAGGCTTCTTAAAAAGTTACGCCTAATGGATTAAAGAATTAAATATACACCCTGAAACAATTAAACTTCTTAAAGAAAACATAGGAGAGACACTTCAGGAAGTGGGGCTGGACACAGACTTCATGAATACGACCCCAAAAGCACGGACAACCAAAGGAAAAATAAACAAATGGGATTATATCAAACTAAAGAGCTTCTGCACAGCAAAAGAAACAATTAACAGAGTTAAAAGACAGCCAACAGAGTGGGAGAAAATATTTGCAAAATATACATCTGAC